TCCCACTGACAATGGATACCTTGGTGACTGTAGATACTAAAGAATGCTTTAATTTAATTTCATAGTGATTCCATTTTGCAGATTACATACCAGATTGCAAAGATATGATGATACTTATAGATTAATATTAAGGAAATGAATTAAAGTCTACTGGTAAGATTATAAAAGTCTTAAAAGGAGATACATTATGGTTGGTCTCTCAAAACAGAGAGACAAGTGGCCTCCATCACCTGAGCCTTACTTTACTTCTGTGGCCTTTGCTAGGTGGTATGTAGCTTTAGTAGCTCCAGAAGAAATATGGGTATCTCCCACACTCCCTCAGGCTCAGGTCTGACTCATGAAAGAGAAGACTTGTCCTTTCTTTTTGTCTAATTTAATCTGATCCAGATAATCTCTGGTCTAGCTCTGACCTGACATCCAGCTCAGCTACATCACACAATGAGGTCATGAGCCACTAGCACACAGTTCCTGCCTACCAAGCCTGGCCTCCCTCACTTTATGGGTAAAAAGGATGACTTGAGAAAGTAATTTAGTTTTTTTTTGGCTACTGTAATTTTTTTCCTACCAGTTCCATGTTTGTTGCATCACTTCGTGAGCTTTTGGGGCAGTAGAAGGGACTTAAGAAAGGACAGGGGCCTTCAAGGGTCTTATAACATAGGGGCTGCCATAAGCAAGACTCTACACAAGAAACAGGTCTCTGCTCTGTGTCTAACACACACTTCTCTTCATCTCAACCTCCATATAATTTCTAACACCTCCTAAAAATGTAGCATTCTGGCTTCCTTTCAAGGTCTTGAGATGGACTTGCAAGGCACACAAAAGCAAATGTCTTCTTACTTTCAGATTTGTAAAACCTAGTACCAGTTAAATCCTCACTGAATTCTCCTGGAGAACAATGGTTTACGTGTTAAGTGCATTAAGCATCTATATCTAATTGTTTCTGCATGTAATTAATGAGAACATTTTGCAATTAGGTCCTTACCATGCATGACACAGTAGCCTGGATATAGAGTGCATTTTTAAAAGTAGCAGAGTTGTTACTACCATTATCAGCTTTGGACCTTCCCAAATCAGAGTGCCTCACAAAACTGTAGAGACCTTCCAAGAACATTTAACCCTCATTTCATACAATGGGTCAACAGAGGACTAAAACCCAAACTAAATTAATACAAGGTAGGTTACATACTGAAGAACAACACTGTGAACATACAGTTTTTCAGTTAAAGTTTTGATAGCTTCATTAAGACATGTATCAGATTCACAGAGGTACTGTGCCAACATACTACCAAACTCCTCACAGCAACTGGTAGCAAACTAACACCTAATCCTTAGAAGGAACATTTCCCAATGAATAGGCCACTATGTTACAAATAATTTCTTTCAGCCTTCCATAATGCCAGGAGCAGTTGCCTTCAGTTAACTCTTTAACACCAGTCAGACTCCCATTGTACTTCACGATAGGTCACTATATAGGGACACTGAAAGCAACAGAAATATGCCATAAGGGTAACTTATTTTCACTGTAATAAATAACAGTTACTTTTTTCCACTGAAATGCCAAGTGAAAATAGTTGTGATGTTGTGACTACTCCCTCTTTCTCGCCCTGCAAAGATCTTCTGCAAGTCTTCAGTGCATTTCTAACATCTCACTGACCTAGCTCCCATATCTGTTGGAGAAATTCACCAATTATTCTAAAATTTGCTTCCAGTATGGATTAAAAATCCTATCATTCCCAACCTGAAACCAGTTACAGAGATCTTACCCTCTGCTTTTGGCAGTATTTCAGCTCCACAGACAATACAATAAAGTCCTTTCTTGCAAGGCTGGTGGGGTATTTCCTTCTAACAAGACAATATACAAATTCATGTAAATACTAGTTTGCATATAGTAACTATGCAGATTGAAGCACTCAAACACAAAGAAATGTATCAAAACTGCCTCAAAGAAATATACTACTTGAAGCACCCAAACAAATCTATTTGAATCAATGTTTATCATTTATATTAGCAAATAATTAAGATACCCACCACGCTAAAAACACTTAACCTAACTTAAACAGAAATACTTTCATACAAAATATGGGGCATTTTACAGTCTATAAAGCTCCAGGCTATCAAAGATTTAGTTTGGAATTTGCAAAGGAGCCTAGGGTGATAGGTGCCCAACCCTCCATGAGTTGCAGTGTGATTATGTTCTTAGGCTTTGCAAATCCTGCCTTATAAGTTACATACTAACCAGAAATCAGAAACACTGCTTATATTGAAAGGGGAATCACATCTGTGATGAGTTAGGAACTGGACTCAGCAGCCAGTTCATATCTGCAGGTTCTACCTCTGTTAACAGGACTTTTTGTTTCCCATGAGAAAAAAAAAGGTATCTATTGAGCATGTAAATTGTAAAGATCTAGGGCAAACCATGCAGACCATGAATAAACTATTTCATCTGCATTATTTCACATAAAAAATTACATCATGAATTATTCTTATTTCCCTTGCACCTTAACATTCAACAGCAGCCACTCAAAATGGTATTGTATTCTATCTGCATGGTACCTTTCTTTCACAGGTGTAGCCACTGTGCCTAACGGCAGCTTTTCTTCGTCTGCTTTGCCTCTGAACTTTCAATCCTTTAATAAATTCAAGATTTTATGATTATTTTAGACAGAAGAGATCACACGTAGCTATTATATCAAAGTATGAGAGGAACTGTCAAGAATTTAGCTTTTATAGATTTAAGAAGTCTAAACAAATCATTCTAGGAAAGTTGGTACACTGACTTCCCCTCTAATTGCAGGCTGGCAGTTCAATTCAATACTGGGACTCACCACAAAAATATTAACTATAGAAATAAAGAACATTCTTACCACCAACATATTAAACACCATAGTTAGGTATAAAGACAAGCTAAGATGGAATAGACACAGCCTTTCAACCAAAAGAAACTGTCCACCCCTCATCACCTCAATACCCATCAGTAATATAAGGGACTATCATCCATCAATTGTCTGAAGCAACACTGCTATGGTCAGGATTTGAGTTTAGTGAACTTGTGGAAAATCTAGTATCTAGTACAATGCTAGAAAAATCTAGTATCTAGTAGGCCAAATACTGATATTTCAATACATGCTTTAAAGAATAATGGTAAAGGAATAATTTTATATAAAATGTAAATAATGTATGGTAAATAAATGCAAAGTGTTTGACATGAAGAAGGACATGTCTTAAAGGATTTCTAATCAAAGTAAGATGCAACACAAGATCAAGAAAGGAACAATCTGCTCCAGATAAGGAAAGGAAGATGGATTTTCTTTTTTTTTTTAATGTTACGGATTTAAAGACAGACAAATCTTCTGAAGGACAAATAAGAGATAGTGGTCTATGAGATGGGCAGACAAGCCACAAAGCTTAAGTGATTTCTATTATCTATTTAGATATACATAAACATACAAAGTGGTTTGGGATAGAAGACTTGTTTTAAGAAAACTAAGCTATTAGAGACTCATGAGGATCAAGTTGATCAGCAAAGCCACCTGCCACAGGCTGCCTCAGCATTTGCTGTGGGATATCAGACAATTCTAGTCCAGAGCCAGTTACAAACAGAACTGTGTCCACCCTACTGAGTCTTGATATTCAATTACTTAAATCTAAATTAAGTAGTTTTATCTCTAGATGTGTCATATGTTTAAAGTGCTCTCAACATTAGGGCTTGCTTCTGCCCTGTCAACTAGTTCAAAACCATCAGCATCCAATGATTAAGTGAATACCAGGAAACCTAAACCAAGGGAATATGGTCCTTATGTGGAATCAATACAATAAAAAGCTTAACCCAATGCCTTATACTAAGTATTGCAAGGTAATGCTTGTTAAAGAAATTCAACAGTATTCTTGTTATTCTTGCAGAGTATCTAATTTTATAAAGATGCACTTATTGTGTAAAGAAAGGATAATATTTAAATCCTATCGATAGGAACACATCCACAGCTGTGACTCAGAATGTTATTTAGATGAACTATTAGAAATGACCAGTTAACAATTGGTTAAAATACATGAATACCTGTGAACCAAACTTAAGACTGTAAAAATCCTGCATCTTCATATATAGTATGAAGATGCATATCCAATACATGATGGAAATGAACAATCCTTTATTGAAAAATCATGTGTAGTATGTTTTATTACAGCAAAATTCTGGCTATTTTGATTGCAACAAATGAGAGAAATGTTTAAAATACTTAAAAAAAAATAGACTAAGGAGTATTTAAAGACCTTTATGTACACATTTACATTGTTATATATTGCATATCTGTAGGGCATACAAAGAAGTACACATTTTGATACGAATACATAATTTGACCAAAATAAATTAGATCTCATAAAAGAAAATTTTAAAGAAACCTAAACTTTTGAAATAAACTGAAGACCTCTCAAGGAGCCTCTCACTGTCATCAGATCAGAATGGTCAGATGTTGCTATACTACTACTACACAGCTTCTGAGACATTTTGGCAAAAGAAAATGGAGGGAAACACCGTACCAAAGAATACATCTATTTCAGTATCTAGGCTCAATCTATCATATTACTTGAACTGCAAAGACCGTGTTCTTCATACTGAAAAATGAAAAAAGCCCTAACCAATGCAGAAATCCATAATTTGATTATATGGGTGCCTTTGGAGAAACCCTAATTGTTTGATTGTATTTAATGGGGGATTAATTAAACCTGTAATAGACAAACCTCCTTAGCCTATAATTACAAGTCAAATGCTACTTGGGTTCTATTTCAAGTTTCCACACATGATGCCCTTTTCCCACACAGTTAGGATGAAGTATCTTAATTATATTTATAGAGACATGCATGTTGCATAACTTTTACAGTGAAAAAGGAAAAAGTATCATGAAAAACTGACTCTGAGAGTAGCACATATGAAAGGAACACATCACAGCTCTATAGTGAGGCTATGTTATAAAGGCTGCTCACGAAGTTTTCTATAGCAGCTGTCACTATTTGCTGGGATTGTTCAATGGAAAAGATGACACACCTTTATTTCGTGATCTGGAAAGACTGATTTTCCGTTTTTTGGTGTCCATCTCTTGAGATGCTATCTGCTTTGCTTCTATCTCACTACTCATCTCTACATTATTAACCGCGCTGTTCTCATTCCCCTCATTTTGCATTATTCCATGTAAACTTGTGCTTCTGCCATCATTGTCATCAATCATTTTTTTAGTCACACTCAGTGTTTCTAAGGTGTTGATTGCAAAAAGATCATCACTGACTGTGGTGTTGCCACATTCAATATGATTCTCACTTGTATTACAGGCTGGAACCAGTGGTCCGATATTCTGTTCCTCTGATTCTACATCATCATCATAAAGTTCTGGTGTGAAATAGATACTCTCATCCTCATCTTCATCTTCTGCAGCTACATTTAACACTGAAAGTTCAGATTTCCCTCCTTCTGAAGGAAACTCACTGCAAGGCCCAACTTGAAGCTGTAGCTTATAAGAGAGGCTCAACATTTTTAATTGAAAAATCAGTTGTTTCCAAACATGATTCTGGTACACTTGGTTCATGTTCTGAAATTAATGATGACTGGCATTGATTTACACCATCAATAACTTCACTAGCCCTTTTCACATTCTTCTGGTTGCTAGTAGCTGTGGACACACAGTTCTTGGCTACAGGCAAAGGTGTTGAAGTCAGTGGTTTAAAGCAGCAATGTTCTTTCATAATATCAGCATTAGTCCAATCCTTCTTTTCTTCTCTCCCAGTTTTATTTGCTGGCATTTGGGGTGTGCAGCCCATATGTTTTCTTCTTGGTGTTACATGGTGAGAATGACTCTCAACATCAATTTTCTGGCCACCTGTGAAAATCACAAAACACTAATTAATTGTATATGCCTTCCCCTGCTGATTTACAGCATATTTAGCACATCAAAATTGCCACTGTTACATTAGGTTTACAATTCTTTAATAAATACTCATTAGGATCCAATACGAACAAAAGCCCAGATGTTACAACAATCTCTGCACATGAATTATTGTAACTAAATCAACAGATTAACAGGCGTATGTAAAGCTAGAATAAAGTATGATTGGCTTTTAAATTTGTAATTTTTTATTATTGTGCTCTTCTGTTATTTACACCTTTCTTGCCTGAAATGAATCATAAGCTTTCCTAAAATTTAGGAACAAATAGTTATTTACTTGTAAAGCTGGTACCAGAAGAGGTTATACGAAAGGTGCCTCAGAGCAGTGTCTAAACAAATGATGTGGTTTGAACCAAGGCACTCACCTTACAATAATGCTAATCTTTGTGTTTCAAATATATTTGAAATTATATTAATAGTTTTCAATGGAAGAAGAAACTTCAGTGAAAACATTTTTGAGTGTACTATAAATCTATCAATCATTATCAACTGTTTTAAGACAACCAGATGGAATGACAATTAATTTCAGTCTGTTGAGCACAGCTCATGCACATTTGTGAATACTTATCATTTTGCACCATAACATTCCGTAGTTTCAAAAACACATTTGTTTCTTCCAAAAATAAAATGATGCAAGTTCACATTTCAAATTGTTAATGATGTTTTTTCCACAGGAAATGAACATACTTTGTTTCGTTGTTGCCGTGATGTTACTTGGCTGATCCAATGCTGCAGGACTAAGTGAGCTGATGGTTGTAGTAAAATTAATTTCTGAAACGAAGTTTTGCTCCTCACTTTTCACAGGAACACCTGGTGACAGGTGAATAGTCACCTCCTGCTGAGATGATTGTGACAGGCCTTTTGAGTTTGAAGGTACACAGAGAAAGTCACTGCTGCGTTCTGGTGAACCATCAGTTCTTTTCTGATTTCCTACAGCAAATGCACGCAACGATTCAAGTGCATTACTAAAATTTTCATGGTGCTGGATTTGTTGACGAATCCATTTAGATAATCCTAAGAAAAAGGAGGAGAAAAAAAATTAATTAAAAATAATTACTACAAAACTGTATCATCTATAGCAGGTATTTCATCTCAGTACCCTAATATTGCAAATATGTATAGGCAGATTCATAAAGATCTCACGAAGTTGCTCATGAAAGTAAGATAATGCATGTCTTCCTTTCCAGGTCTGGGAATTTGATTTAATGAACGGTAGTATTTTGATGAGTAATACTAATATCATTCTTTATTAAAAGACCTTTAACTTTTTTACTAATACTTTACGTTCAAAGTGCTGCATTGCAAAAACTTCATTATACTTCTGTTACGCCTGGGTGTTAATTTTGCTTCTTATCATGAATTATTAAAGAGCAGCTTACATAGAGCACAGCTATTTCTTATCATACTGATGGGGTCTGACAAAAATTAGAAGATAATGAAGCTTTTAAAACTTTATTTCAGGTGAAGGAACAGTAACTCGGGTATTCAGAAAGAATCGCACTGCCCAATAGCTGACATATAATACAATATGCTCTTACACAACAATCATTTCTTAAATTCTCAAATACCAGACATCTTGAGCATAATAACCGTTTAGATGGTGCTGGAATACACAAGAAAGAGTGAAGTAAAAACTAACTTTCTTGGGATTTAAAACGAGTTTTTAAACCCATTTAAATATTCTTTTAATAGCAATTACCTGACACAACAAAAAACAAATCCAAGAGAGAACTTGATTTTTCTGTGAAGTTTTACTTTTTAGACAAAGTACTAATCTTACCAAGGCTTCAACATATAGATTATTTGTATTACTATATGAATTACTTCTGTTTACTTAGATAACTTAAATGTATTTCTAGTACAGACATGTCAGAAAAGCAGTTTGACTTGTACTACAGCAGCTGAGCTCCACCTGCTGACTAGACTGCAACATTGTCTGTTTATATCACCTTTTTGCCCATCTCTTCAAAACAGGGCAAGAAGATACATAATGTATTCTTAAGCAATTCTTTTTGTTATTATTTCTTTATTAAGGTAGTGTGCATGACCTGTTTTATTTTATGTGCCTTTATTTCTATCCAGTATAAAACTACAAACAGAAAATACTTTGTGTATTGAGTATTTGGTGGTTCCAAATGGCACAACCTTTATCTGTTCTTACCAAAAAAGTCAGAATGCCAAATTCAGACTGCTAACCCTAATCATTAAAGCTCCCTAGAAGTAGAAATTATACATCCACTAGACACTGATCCCATGTCCAAATAAAAATCTAGTAACTATTTTTTAATACATATAAACACATGCACACATATGTATACCTACATTATATGTATTTAATATGCAAAGATTGAGAGTTCTTAAGTGTTTTTATAGGTCCCATTTTAAGAACGAATTCTTAAATACTGCACACTGAAATTTCTATATCATTATCTATATATCCAAAAGGAGAAAGAAATTAAATGAACTGAATGGTGCTATCAATGTGTTTCAGCGTGTTTAATGAACCAGCAAACACCAGAGTACAGATTTAGAGTTTTCAGTTTCAACTGCACAATTTTGTGTTCAATGGATCTATTTCTTTTTGACTTTTCCTACTCACCTGTGTTTCTATAGCCATCTTTCTGTAATTTGGATTTTTCATTTTTTGTTAATATTAGGAACTTTCCTACAAAGATGTTTACAGCTTACCAGTTATGTATTTATTAGGGTTATTCCGGAAGCGGTCATCAACTAAAATAAGAGCACCCCAGTCATTCCTATGTCTTATACACCTATAAGTGAGCAACAAAAAAAGAGTGTATATATAATTAGAGTGCATCTGTTAAAAAGCTGTGGGGAATCAGGCAACAGGGACTGCAATGAGTCAGCTAGAATATACAAAAATATACTGGAAGTGCTTTCCTGCTGTCTTGCACTACAATTGTTATGGAAGTCATAGAAGCCTAATTTTCCTTCAGTTCTTGAGTTTACTATATGAAAAGAGGTACATTAGAAAAAGAAAAAACCCACACAGACAAATATTCAGCTGCTAATCAAACCATATCATTTGTTTTCCACTCTTAGCATGGTTGCATAAATAATGAAGGGAGAATATATAAAGTAAAATATGAAAGAAAAAAGATCGATGCAGTTTTTTTAATAACTATGCACTTTTTTGTTTCTGAACCACATTATTCCTATCTCTCTTTAGGAATAAAATGAATAATGCTACAGATCAAAGCTGTGAGCAAGACTGTTGAGTTTATAATTCACTTGTTAGAGGCCTATAGAACTAATCCAGTAATCATTCCACAGATATTGATATTATTTGTAACATTATTTTGATTTCTATACTGCCTGTCAAAAAAAAAATAAATATAAAATTAAAGAACAGTGATAACTTCAATGAAATATGGAAAAGAATCTGTCAGTAATAATTTAGGATTATTACCTGGTTTGTATAAGAAGAGGACAACACTTGAAGATGATGTTCACAAATGCATGTAAAACCGTAAGTGTATCAGAGTCAGGTCTTAAAATGGGAGCAACAAGGCTAGCTCTCCAAAGAAATGTTATTTATTTACATTTGAAGTCTCTCCATGATAAGAAAAGCTACCAAAGCATCTTTAAGAAACAGATTTCTTCCAACTTCTTTTTTTTTTCATTGCTTTAATATATGGGTTTTTAACGCATAGTTTAAATGAATTATGCCCACTGGATATATCCCACACTTCTGGAAAAAGTCAGACTGCAAGGAATTCATAGCATGATTGTCACCTGGCCATACACACCATCTGCTCTATTCCCAGAGGCTGCTATTTCATTTCATGGACTGGTGTTACTTCTTATAACGTACCAGCACTAAATTAGAAGAAAAGTGCCAGACTGAAGACGATCATGCTTTTGCTCACTTCTCTCCCTGCAGGCATCTTTGAAGTAAGAAGCTTAGTAACAGCTTAGTAGATTGTTCCAGTTTTATGGAAATGGTTATCGCACGCTCTCATCCTTTGCCATATCTCAGTTTAGTAACAGCTTAGTATAATAGTATTATACACAATTCATACATTTATGTCAGAATGGAAATCTATTTTCTCCATTTAAGTTTGCCTACCATGATTTAATTCAAATTATAAATTATACAATAAGCAATTTTTACTAAACTAGATTAAAGTTTAAACTTATTTCAGTGACAAAACTTCAAATTCATGTCTTACTATTAGCATTCCACAATGTCCTTAAATTTTTGTTAACAGGTTTTAACTAATGCTCTTACTCTCCAAAGAGGAATCTAAGAAATCAGACCTGTAACAACAAGAATTTACAGTAAGATTTTACTAGTGTAGAATATTGTCTCTCAATTTTTTTTCTAAGCCTTCATTTATGTCATTACACTTGAATAATGTCTAATTCAAATAACAAGAGTCTTCCAGATGATGCTTCTCTTATCTATAAATCTGTGTCTGCACCTCTACATATCTCTGACAGAAGCATGGCATCTATGCCAGTATGGATGACAGACAGCTACGGGTATGTATGTATATGCTAAGTTTGGTTGGAGAAGGATGAATTAATTCTATCCTCTGAATAAAACTGGGGGTGGGGGGAGATATTTTCATTTGAGAAAGTAAGCTATACTTATTCTTCTAAACCTGGAAAGAGATCAGGGAGCATGATAATTGAACTGACCTTTTGAAAAGGTCTGAGAAAACCCCTGCTACTTCTCCCTTTCAAAAATACTTGTAGGCTAAACATCAAACAACTGCTCTGAGCCCACCAAGAGTGTGGACAATTAGTATATTTGAAAAGACCTAAGAACCTGCACTTAGTTTATAAGTTCAAGAACTATTTGTCTCTGCAAATGCTTTCATTTCTGTATATCTGGATTACAAACAATAAAACCAGTAACCAAAAGAAGCTGGATTATGAATGTAAAACAAAACTAACACTCTGGATTATAACAATGCTCAAATGCACAACAACCTGAAAACCAGACAATTGCCAGTATAGAACAGCTGAAGACCTGATTTTCACAATATGAATATTTTGGCCCAATCTCTACCCTTTGTGTTAACAGTGAGGAATTAAACCCTAAAGGTGTTGCAAGAAAATTTTTCTACAAATATATATATTTTTATTTAAGTTCAGCTTATCTCACCTTCCCAGGGCTTGGTTTAGAGCCCTGTAAGCTTGAATTTCATACCACTGACTCCCTGGTAAAAGGCCTCTTGTATTTTTATGCTGGTCATTGTATTGCCTCTTTAATTCAACCTAAAAAAGAAATAATGAAATACTGTTTTTAACAACAATGTTGAAAAGGAAATATTCTGAAAGGGGAAAAGAAGCAAATATGCATTAAATAAGTGAATATGTAAAGAGTGTTTCAGCGTTTCAACTTTGTATTTTGCATACAATTATGGCTTTTACCTTTCTAAAGTTATTCTTAACATGTGATCTGTTCCAACAATTTGTATGGAATAACACAACCACCATACACTTATCCAAACCTCTGTGCTAACAAGAGCAGGATAAGATTTCACATAGGAAGAAAACCCAGATACTAGACCACAGTTGTATTTGCTTATCTGGAAGCAAATTATATAATGGAGATCTTTATCCTTTATCACAAACTCTGACTCCTAATCTATTGATGGGACCAGACCATTCTTTTCTCAAGTGAGGGTTAAGCAAATATAACCCCTTCTTCTACAAAAGCTAAGAAAGTACTTCAGAGACAGAGCGGCCTTGCCAAAACACCAGACGTCAGCAACACCACCTCTAATTCCTAGCTTAGCACCACCTTCTGCGCTTTGGAAACAAACATTTCCCTGGCTAATGGTGAAGTGAAGGCAGCAGCTAAGGTTTGCGGGCCCATGGGCCAGCATATGGCAGAAAAGAGCACGCTCCTCTTGTTCTGAAAGTGCTCTCCCACCTGCTTCAAAAGCAGATCTGGTATCAACTGCAAAAGAAATCCCCAGCCTCCCTTTTCTAATCATATGGACAACTACACATACAATGCCTGATCTGCAATTGAACAAGAATTTGTGTTGGGACATCATACATGGTTCCAACACCCATCAAAATGACTTCTTACTGGGAGGGAGGAAATGAATTTTAATATCATTTTTAAATAAACAAACATCAAGCTACACTAAAAAGGGTCTTTCCTTTGCTCTTTTGGTACAGTATTAACCTTTCTAAACTGACAAGTGAAAGGACACGCTTCAGGAGAGAAAACAGCAGACTTCTAACCTCTTCTGACAGGTAACTTTCAAGTTGTATTTGGATAAGAAATTTTATTTTATGTACTTATGCCCTTTAAATTGCCTGTCAAATTTCTAAATTCAATCTTTACAGCCAGAAAGTAAATTCAGTTTGATTTCACAGATTTAATATTTGTTCCAGTCACCCAGAATTTATTGACTGGCATGTGAGGTTTCCTTTGCAATTTTCAAAACAGATTATTTCTTCCAAACATTTTATGAGCATTAAAACCATTCCTTAAAAAAGAACTTAAGCACATCTGTGCTTTTCTACAAATGGAAATACTATCTGGAGAAACAAAAAGGTACTCCTCACTATCTGAAATGAGGTATGATGTTGGAAAATTTCATTGAAGTCTTTAAAACACAACCAATGAGATTTTACTTCTGCACAGGCTTTGCATTTGTCTTCTAGTCCTGGTAAATTTTCTAACAATTTCCTCTCTTGAAGATTTTCTGTTAACTTTGGCCAGTTGTAACAAATGTAGCATTACCACAGTTTCTTAGTTTCCTACCAGACAGTTCCAAACAGAATTACTAGTCATGTGCCTTACACTGATAAAAATGACATTTTCCATTACGTGTATAGAACCGTTGAAGTAACAGAAGGCAGCAAACACCAGTAGGGTCATCTGCGCTATCCTGCACTACCCTGTAAAATGTAATGTGAATAAACCACATTACTTTTACATTCTTTTAATACATGTTAACTTAAATGTGTACTGCTTGTACTGCACATCAATAACAACATTTCATTTCTCAAATCATATAAAAATCCATACTCTCTCGGTCTAATTGTGTAATGTGTCATTAAACCCTGTCTTTTCTATCTTAATTAAAAAAGGGTTAACAGAAAAGAAACATTCTGTTTTCTCACTTAAATGATCATGTCTCAGCATGAGATGACAAGTTACATTGCTGAGAGTTCAGTTTTCATTATAAGTCTTCTAAAGGTAAAAGGCCAGGGCATGTCATTTTAATGCAATCAGAATCTATTTCATTGTATAACTCTTACATTATCAAGCATCAAATCAACGCCCAATTCAAAATGACATGTTACATATGTGAAAAAGCCAGTCTCTCCTGCTAGCAAATATCCTAAATGTGCAGTAAACCACAGGCTAGAAGGGATTAGTTAAAATGTCAAAAGACAGCCTTTTACTTTTACCTGTTCATCCTTAAAAATATACTCTTAGCTATCAGGCATGCTTTACAGACAAATAGCTTCAGCAAGCAGCAGCAGAAGGCCTGTGGCAAGCTCTGCCATCTTGTAGCTGTCAGACAGATTAGTCTTTGATCTATCTGGGAGGTCATGGTCACATTCACATTAACTGAAGTCTAACAGCATTATACCTGCTAACCACTCATTCTTTTAATGCCTAATTAGTTCGACATCTTTCACTATGGAATATTAAGGGAGAAAAAGCATCAAAAAATAAATACCACGAACAATTTTTTTAATTACTTGGGAAAATATTTTGAAGCAGTTTCTGGTACAATAGAAGAATTTTCAAGTGTAGTTTTCAAACAAAATCAGCAATACAAACTTTTCTTCAACTGCATTAAAATCTTATATAATGAATGTTGTTTAAGTGTTCGATAAACCACAAAAAAAGTTACCTGTGGTAACACTGCTTCACGTGAAGAAGCTCAGAGTTATTCAGGATTCATGCAATATTTAAGTACATAAAGTGGATTTATACTGTGATGACCATGGACTGTATCAGTTGGCTTATGGCACGAAGCTCGGAAGAGTCGTTCAAAAACTAGAACTAGAACCCAAAGTAGCCCACAGGTTCACACGCAGAAGCCTGCAACATGCCTTTTTAGCAACACACCAGGCTGCACTACATTTCTTCAAAATTAACAAAAACATGGCTGTATTTAACAGCAAGGATACAAACATCCATCTATAATGAACTATTTGTTTCTACAGAAAAATCAGTGGTTAGAAGAAGTAAAATTAAAGCACAATTTTCTCCTTTAAATTGAGTTCTTCCCATTCTGTAAATATAAAGCTTCTCCTTGTTTTGCAGTCATAACTAAAACTGAGATAATGACATATGAAACTATTTCAGTGCATATTAGATATCTTCAGCTAAAGGTCTGTCCAGCATCCTACATGCTAACTTAACTGTTAAGAAGTTTTAAGGAGAAAGCATTTAACCTACAAAGAATCAAAAGTACTTTGCTACACAATTAATTCCTTTTCAAAAAAATTTACTTCAATAAAACCAGCAGATGTTCCAGCAGATACTCATCTAGAATCATTTTATCTCAGCCAAAGAACAGGACCTTGGACCTCAAGAGCTAATAGGGAAAGCCTAGCAGGACCAGAGAACGTGAATTTGTACACTTACCATTTGAACATTTACCATTTGTGATCAGAATACTGTAACCCAATTGATCAGTGCCAGTATCACAATATAAAGGTTAAACAGGCTAAACCACAGTATTTAATTATTTTTTTTAATTTGGTGTGATTTAGATCAGAAAAAATAAACTCTGTCTGGTTTTACTTCATCGGGCAAAGTTTGGGGAGTTTTCTTTAGATTCATTACGTTACTGAACCGAATGTAGTGCTGCTATACTTTGCTTTCTAAAAACAAACAAAAAAATCCTAAGCTGTTCCTAGCAGTTAACTAGCCAGGCCTGTTCCCTGACAAGACATCACTTCACAAATATCCTTAACTGTCTCCTATTTTCTCTAATAGATTAAAAATGAACCACAGTTTGTAACTGTGTGGGGACTACACACCATATTATCCAGAGATCTATAGACAAGACAGAAATTCGTGAATACATTGGCACTGTTGTGAGCAGTGGGACAGAGCACTCATCTAAACCTGCATTCCTCTTCACATCAGCACTTAGCAGTGCTGTGACAGCTCAGGTTAAATAAAGAGGCAACTGCTGAAAGGAAAAAGCAAATAAACTTGGAACTGTGCCAGTGCACGCACACATGTGTAGGTAGGTACATGTACACACATGGGTGTAAATTCATGCCTTTCACTCCCCAGCACTCTCCTCCATCTATCCTCCATGGAAATACAAATCAGAAAATGTATATAAATGTGTCCTGGCATTCCATCGACTTGTTTCTCTGGTTTTATGAGAGGAAAAATAGTAACGAAAACAAAGAGCATTGCTCGTATCATCCAAAAAGAACTTTAAAAGACACATTTAGATTTAATATTTACTAACTCCCCACCTCCTAAAGAACAAACAAGCAAAAAAATACCAGGCGGTCATTCCCTGCTTCCATCCCCCCAGAAAACATAAAAATGGTTTTTAAGCAAATTTACCCTCCTAAAAATCTCCTGTGTCCAGTTAAGAGTCTCTCTTCCACCTGAAATAGCAATAATTAGAATCCTTCAAGAACATACCTGCCATCTACTTTCTTCCTGACGAATGCCAAGTAATCGTAAAAGTTTGTAAGTGCAGGAAAGTAAGACATGAAACCCAATTTCTTTTCTCTTACATCTGAAAATCCTTAAATAGAAGCAGCATTAAATAGTGCAGTGTTTAACTTTTCCTCCCTCACTTCAAAAGCAGCAACAACGTCTGCGAGATTTAAGACTAAATAATGTACATGTAAAGACCTGGCTGAGTCACAGACTATGCTTCAAATATCCTCATTCCTCAGTAGACCTACTAAAAGCAGTATCTAAACACAATGTCCCAATTTATTAGCCCACAGGAAAAAGATACTACAGCAAGAGGTTATCTTTAAATGCTCCACACATTCCAAGTGCTGTGTTAATACACACAAAACAGAATGAAATAAGGAAATGCTTATTACCTATAATTTATCAAACCAGATTCCATATATGATAATAATTTATTATGGCCATTCTAACCATGTCCTATACCTAAAGATGGCCACCAGGCACACATATAGCATTCTAGTCTGCTTTCACACACCAGTACTGCATTTCTTTAAAAACCAACAAACCCCAAAAACTGTGAGCACAGCAATACCATATATACAGTCAATAAGACATTATC